GTCCCTCTCGCTCTGCTGGTCCCTGAGCCGCCGGGTCCACTGTGTTGACCACGCACGGAGCACAAGGAACCTGTGCTGGCGGCGTCCGCGCCTCAGGGCCACAGCCACCTTGTGTCCCTTTGGGCCCGCGGTGAGCCCCACACAGCGGCTGGCACACGACTACCTGGGGACACGGACGGTGTCTTGAAAGGCAACGTGCACGCGTGGAGGGAACGGCATTCTAGAGGCGCCCGGCGGCTGCCCTGCGCAGAAGCTCTGCCCCCCTCCCGGGCGAGCGCTGCACGCTCCCGGCAGGCGGTGCCCCGGCACCCGTGTGTGTGAGCACGCCCCCGCACACACCGACAGGAGCGCTGCTCGCGTGGCTTGCGCCCTGCGGCTCCTCCCCCCACAGCCTGTGCTGGGCTGGGCTCACGGAGCTCTCCCACTCCGGAGCAGTTCCTCCCGGCCTGTCGCAGGAGTCCGACACCGTTTACCTGGCCCGTCTCCCGCAGATGCACAGTCGTTCCCAACCCCGTTCTTCCCAGCAAGTCTGCAGTGGGCGCAGTAAGACCGCCCGCTCTCCAAAACACTTGTTCCGGGACGAGTGCCGTGTGATTCATCAGCTCCTCACCAGGGCCCTCGAGGCGGGAGGACTGCGGTCACCCCGACACCCAGACACAGCGCCCGCGGCGCTCAGAGGGCCCCCAGCCCGTGCGAGGCCGCGGGACTGGGCGGGGACACGGAGGCCGCGCTCGCCACACTCCGCCCTCTCGCGGCTGTACGAACGCCACGCTGCCTGGGAGTCCAGCAGTGCGAGTGCTCACGCGAGGGGCGTGTCCCCCCGAGCCTCGCTGGTGCCGCTGACGGCGGTCCGGCCCCCTGGTCCCGACACTGGCACCGCCAGCCGTGTGGTGCCTGCGGACAGGGAGGCGGCGCCGTGACTCGGTCACTCTCCTTTGCACTGATGGGGTAAGGGGGGTGAGCACCTTTTCTGAAGCAGACGCTCTCTTCGTCACACCCGAAATGTTTTCCCATCCCCTCTGTCCACTTCCACTTAACATGTCTTGTTCATTTGAGTACGCTAACGAGTCTCCCTGTTTCTGTTGCATTCGGATGGGGTTATTTCTTATTTGTTTTGTTTATCGATACAATACTAAGAATGCATACACTACAATTTCTATCTTTTGAAAGTGCTTTTGATTGGGGATGACTTATTCATTTAGCTTCTGTATTATCTATGTGTAAATTGAACACCTTATTGAAGACCCTATTACGTTATTTATTATGCTTTCAGAAACGTCCAACGATTTCTACCCGTAAACTTCGCCCTGGATTTGAACCGGCCGCAAGCGGCACCTCCCACACAGGGGCTCCAGGCCCGTTTTCCTGGCCCGCGTGGTGCGTGTCCCCGGGGTGAGGGACAACGGCCCACGTGAGGGCCACCGCGTTTCCTCCCCGACGGGAAAACCGCCCGTCCCGTGGCCTTCCTGGGGGTCCTGCGTGACAGGCCGTGAGCATCTCCTCTGGGCGTGGGGGGACGCCGTCTCTCCCTGCACGGTGGTCTTCGGGGCAGACGCGGCGCCCCCCCAAGGCCCAGGATGCCGACTCCAGGTGTACGTCGGGGGCCAGCGTGTGGGGGCAGCGGCTTTGAAAGCTCAACACGGGCCGTCTCACGATAAAAACGTGGGAACTGCATGTAGAAGGAACTGTTGACATCAGCAGACGACGCAGTTCAACTGAGGCTGTCAACCGTTATTTGAGCAGAATGTGCCTCTCCAAACACACCTGTAAAGGTAGATCTCCATAAATGAGATGGTGCTCAGTCTTCTCGTCGGAAACTACTGCTGGGAAGGAGCCAGGAAGATGGCAAGCGGAGGCGCCGTGTGGCTCAGCCCACCGCCGCAGAGCCGCCCAGCCGGACCGCACACACAGGTGTCGACCCTGCCGCAGCTCCAGCGGAGGCCTGGGTTTCGTCTCCTCGGGGAGCTGGCCAGGGCCCCCGCTGCACGGGCAGTGCCACCCGGGGGCCCCGTTGGGCCTCGGAGACCACACAACACTGAGCCACATGCCACCCGCACAGCACCAGCGTGGCCAGTGCCTCAGCTGTTGTCTCCTGCACCCCGAGCTCCGGAATCCAGGTGTGGGGAGCCCCAGCTGCCCGCCGGAAGCTTTCCCAGGCCCGTGGGGTGTCAGGTGTCGCCGGGCCCCCCGACCCCCCAGTCCCCCCCAACGATGATGCGCATGGAGCGCTGCACCCGAGGACCCTCGCCACGCTGTCGCTGCGGGCAGCGGTCCCGGGCGACGCCCACCACCCCAAGCCTCTGTCACTAGCCTCTCGCTGAGCCGGCGAAGCCTGCTGACCCCGGCGGCAGGGGCCGTGGGGGACCCTCGGCTGAGGCCCTGCTGCTGGAGAAGAGTGGGCGTCGGGAGACGGGTTTGAAGGAATCAGCAGACACCGTATCTTCTTCATCCTCCGTGTGGAGTCCATGAAACTCCGTATTCCACGTCATTCTATCCTGACTGGTTGTCCACCAGGCCAGGCTCAGAGAAAAACTGTGTCATAAAATCTGAGTTTTTTCCAAACTGAAAAAAGAATTATTTAAGGGCAGGTCTGTGTTCAGAGTGGATGGGGAAACCCACTACTACGAAGTACAAAAACCTCTTGCTATTCCATGAAGACATTTTGCCATGGGATCTACAGGTGCAGTGCAATCCTCATCAAAATCCCAGTGTCGGCTTTGCAGAGACAGAAAGATCTACCCTAAAATTCATACGGAATCTCAAGGGACACCCCCTCCAAAGCCAAAGCAATCTTGAAGAGGAGGAGGAGGAGGAAGAAGAAGAGGAAGAGGAAGAAGAGGAAGAGGAAGAAGAGGAAGAGAAGGAGGAGAAGGAGGAGGAAGAGGAAGAGGAAGAAGAAGAAAGTTGGAGGCTTTTTATTCCCGGTTCCCACACCTCCCGCAAGGCTGCGGTCGTCAGGAGGGCGCGGTGCTGGCCGGGAGACGGATGCCCGGACCAGGGGGCAGAGCAGGCCGGGAAGTGAGCCCTGGCAGGTGTGGCCCCGCGCCCGTCACCGCAGGGCCGAGACCACTCAGTGTGGAGAGAGCAGTGTTTCACCAGGTGCTGCGGGGAAACTAGGAATCCATGTACACCGTGCAAGACACAGAGACTGAAACTGTGACTCCAAGCAGGGCATAACTTCACGTGAGAGCTGGAATTATACAACTCACGGAAGGAAACAGAGGGGAGCGTCTCCGGGGCCCTGGGTCGGCGGCGACCCGCGGCCTGAGGCGCCAGGAGCTCCGGCAACGAGAGACAACGCGGCCGCGGCAGAAGGAGGGGTTGGAGACCGACGGGCACTCTCAGTGGCGTGAAAGGACAAACCACGGAACAGGGGAAGCATCTGAAAACCACATACCGTATTTTTAGGACTATAAGATGCACCTAGGTTTTAGAGGAGGAAAGTAGAAAAAAAATTTTTTGAAGCAAAAAATGTGGTAAAATATTTAGTGACTAACCCCACTCCACCGCCACCACCCAACCCCCACCAGACAGCCAGGTAGACTACATTCAGAGTATAAGATGTGCCCCATTTCCTTCTCAAATTTGGGGGGTACGTCTTATAGTCCGACAAATACGGTATCTGATAAGGGGTTAATATCCAGAAGGTTTAAACAGCCCCCACAATGCAACAACAGCAGCAGCAGACAACAACAACAACAATGAAACGACTCAACTAAGGCGCAGGGCTCAGGCAGTGAAGGCTGGAGCGGCCAAAAGCCACGTGAAAAGATGCTCGACGTCACTAACCATCAGGGACATGCACGTCCGGACCCCTCGAGACCCCATTCCACACCTGGGGGGGGAGGACCGCCACTGCCCACAGAGCACACGACACCACACGTGTCGCGGAGGCGGGGGAAGCCGGAAGCCTTGCAGGCTGTTGGGAGGACGGCAGCTGGTGCAGCAGCCGCTGCGGAAACCGGCACAGCGGCTCCTTAGAAAACCGAAGCTAGAATTCCCTGTGATCCAGCAGGCCCTCCTCTAGGTCTGCGCTGAGCCCCGGCAGCGGGGGAGGGGGGGGGACCTGCACGCTCACGCTCACAGCAGCACCAGGCGCAGTGGCCAGCCGGCCGTCGGGAGCGGCCCCCACATGCGCACACAGGCCCCCAGAGAAACTAACAGGGTCCCCCCGAACGCAGCATCACTCGGCCCTGGGAGGGGAGGGCGTCTGACATGTGCAGTGACGCGGACAGAGCCCGGGGACAGACGCCGGGAGGTCAGTCAGGCAGTCACAGACAGACAGACAGACACGGTGGGGCCCGCTCACAGGGGGCCCCCAGAGCCGTCGGAGGCCCGGCAACAAAGGACAGGGTGGGGTGCGGGGTGGGGCAGGGGTGGACACACAGAGGGACTGCATCATGGGTCTCGGGGGGGGGGAGGCGAGTGGCAGCCGGGGAGGGGGGGTCCCGGAGGTCGACGGCGGTGACGGTCGCACGGCTGCCCCGGACCGCACACGCACACGTGGAAGGGGTCCGGACCGTAAGGGTTGGTTACATGTACTGTTTCACTACAGTTTAAGTGATTCTTTAAAGACACCTCAACAGCCATTAGTTTTGTGCGGAGAACGGCTTCCCGGGCCCGCGGCAGCTCCGAGGGCAGCTGCTCCACAGTGACTGACGGCAACCGCTCGGACCCGGGCCGTGCAGGCGAGGTAGGCCCTGGCTGAAGGCCTGACGGGTTCCTCTGGGGGGGGGACGCCCCTGCCTGGATTCCCAAGGGGCTCCCGCACCACCGCCGGGGGGCGCAGACCCGCGGACGGAAGGGCCCCCGGGGGACGTGTGGGGGTAACAGCGTGAGTCAGTGCTTAGGGATCCATGACACTACCTGACTTCACGCTGAGTTTGCTGGTGAACACTGAAGGACACTGTGCTCTTTGAGAGAAAACACACAAGCCCATCTCGGCGCCTTTTCAAGGGAAAGCACCCCAGGGCGGCCCCAGCGGGACCCAGGACCCTCACCTCTACGTGTCTCCCTGGGGAGCCATGTGTCTGCGGGCGGCCGGGACCCCTCTGGGCGGGGCGGTGCTGATGATGTGGAGACACACTTGCTCGCCTGGACTCGGTCACTACATTTTTTCCTCTTCCACCGGACGTGGGTCGCTGTAGAGAAGAATGAAGAGGCAGAAAGTGAGGCCGAGTGTGTCCTCAGGAGACAGAGCCCCACACGAGGGGCGCCCCGCCCGGGCCGGTTCACGCTTGCAGACGGCAGGGTGGGCGGGCAGGCGGCGGGCACGGACCCTCGTGGGCGCAGCAGGGGGTCCCGCAGGGAGGCCGCCTGCCGCTGACTCGCTTCTGGTCAGCGGCTCACCGCAGAAGACTCCTCTAGAAAACTGAACTACTGCTTGTGATGTAAAAGTTTCAGAAAACGGTGAACGTATTCCTATGACACTGTGTGTAAGGGTTATCTCTGTGGCTGAGCCTGAAAAGTAGTAAGGGGATAGGAACTATGGGGAGGCCAACCGGAGAAGCGTACACATGAGTGTCTACACACAAGACGGAGGACCCCCCCACATGGGGTTTATTTATAAAGAGCTACGTATTTGTTCTTTCATTTTAAACTCCAGTCACCTTCAAAGTACTCTCCACCGGATACAATGCACTCACTGAGACATTTTTTCCACCGCTTACAACAGTTTTTAATTCATTAATTTTGATGCCTTTTAGGGCTTCTACCTTTTTTTGTTCCACCTCTTCCGCATTGGCAAAGGTTTCCCTTTGAAGAGTCTTTCACCCGGGGAAACAAAAAAAGTTGGTTATGGTGAGATCGGGTTAATGGGGAGGGTGGGGCAGGGGGGTCATGCTGTTCTTGGTCAAAACTGCTGACCACTCAGTGCGGTGTGGGCAGGTGTGTTTGTAAATCACCCATCATGAAATGGGCAAACGCGATGAAAGAATCTTAAAAAAAAAAAATTCACTGAAGCCAAACGCAGCCTCTCACAACAACGCCAGCTGGTCCACTGATGCAGATGGGCTCCTAGAACACTCTCCTAGCGGGGGAGCCCTGTGCTACAAGGGGCCCACCCCCCAGAAGATAATTCCAGGTTTTTTGTCCCCCCACATACACAGCTTATATCGTCAGCAGACGGGCATGCATGTTTTTATTTCTCTCCTTCTCTGCTGTAAAAACAGTAAGCAAGGTGCAGACCTTCCCATCTGAAAGACTTTACAACAGTAAGCTGGTTGCTAATCAAAAAAGAAAACAAAATAGAATCTCTCAATAACTTAAATTTTTATTTGTTATACCTATAAAGCAACATCCAATATAGTGTTAAAATGGGGCTAATGCACAATCTTCTATTACTAATACTTATATAGTGGGCACGGTGTTTTTTTAACATGTTCTGAGGTGATTACTAAATGGAATAAAATGGTCCAGATGGTATTCGACACAGCGGTTTTATGAACACGCACGTTCATTCCCGACGTGTGAAGAACACTGAACAGACGCATTTAAGTAAGTCTTGTCACCGACCCAACATAGCGCACAGCAGCGAAGTGGCTGAGACCACAGGCACAGGGCGGCTGTCGGGGTCAGAGCCGCTCCCTCCCATGCGCTGCTCTCCCTGTGCTAAAAAAGCCCCACTTTGGTAAAACGCGGCACTAGGTTGCATGACGCCCTGCTCCTCTGGTGAGGCCAGACGCCCACCCGGGAGGCGTCAAGCACCCTGCAGTTCTCTGGCCCGAGCACGAGTCACAGCCACTCGGGGGGCCTCGTGGGCTGGAAGGCCGTGCGAGAGGCCTCCGCCACCTGGGAGTGCGGGCTGGTGTCCTCCCGGCAGGGGTCTGACAACTGCCAGGAGGTTTTTTCATCCTCACCCAAGGACATGCTTATTGATCAAAACAGCCAGGTTTTCCACTGAAGCTTAAGTGCCCACAGAGTAGCACTTCGTCACCAGAACAACAGGTCGTCTGGTGTCTGCCCCATGTCCCCCCACACGGGTGTCTGCCAACCAGCCGTTGGGACCCTCTCCTCTTTCCCTGTGGGGAGCCCTGTGCCCTGCTCGCGTCTCCAGATGTCACCGTCTCTGTCCCCCCTCCCTGGGTGATGGGGGGACGGTCCCTTTCCTGGTTCCCTGGAGCTTGCCTGCAGACCTGAGACCCGGCCCCTCCTTCGGAAGGAAGTTCACTACAGGAGTCGCTAGGGAGCCTCCTCTGCGAAGGGCGTTCTCATCTGGGGTCACTTACAAGCTGCAGGGGAAGCCACCACCCGTGGGCCAGAGGCCGAGCCCCCTGGAGGGGCACGCGGTGCTCCTTACAAACGTACACGCACACACACACACACACACGTGGTCTGTCCGGAAGGGACCCAGGAAAAACAGGGACACTTCCTGAAGGAGACACAAGGGACAAGAGACACTGTACCCAGGACAGTGACGCCTCAGTCCCTCCAAAGCAGGCCCCGTGGGACCTCACACGGTTCTCCCAGTCACATCAGCTGCCCCGTCGTGTTTCCCTGAATCTCATCGACGGTCTGAAATCTCCTCCCTTTCAAAGGGGATGTTAGGTTTGGGAAGAACCAGAAGTCACAGGGCACCAAATCTGGGCTGTGGGGGGTGGAGTCACCTGGGTGATTTGATTGTTTCACCAAAAAACTCTGCACGAGATGTGATGCGGGAGCAGGTGTGTTGTCGTGAAGAGGCTGCCAGGCACCAGCTGCCCACAGCTGCGGCCTTCTGAGTCATCCAGATGGTTTCTGAGGAGGGATGTTCAAGCTTAATGCAAAATTGGATGCAGATTCGTTGCTCTACTCGCTCAGTCAGTTTGAATGTGACAGCCACACAGTGCACACTCACTCACTCAACGGCATCTACTGCCCACTGACCAGCACAGCGAAATTGTCATGGTTCACGCATGTGCATTCCAGCCCACTCTCCTCGGCGGCCAGGTCACACCGATGTCACGGAAACCGTTCTCATGGAACTAACACTGGCTGGACATTTTCCGGACAGACTTCGCTGTTCTGATTTAAAACAGTTGGTATGCAAATATATATATTTCAGGAATAGCGTTTTAAAAACTAGAATGCAACACACTGAGTTAATTGCTCTCTCAACAATCACCTTCCACCATGTAAGAACTCCCAGAACCGTCCACCGAGTGAGCTCCCTTGGAGACGTGGCCTGGCCAGACGTCCCCTTGCCCAGTTCTGTCGGCAGCGAGGGGCACTGTCCCCGAGGTGCTGGCCGCCCCGGGGGCAGCTCAGGCACAGACACACACACGGCAGCCGGTGGGGGCGCCTCTGAGGACTGCGCTGCTGCACTCTGCCCTCCGCCGGAGCGGGACCCACACCTCCTCCTCCTCCTCACCCACGGTCACCCGCTCAGACAACACCCAGGGCTTCTCCGTGGCCATTGTCACATGAGATCACGCTGCACGGCTTCTCCTCTGTTCTAAGAACAGACGCTCGCAGGTCCACACGCAGCCGCACTCCCCGGACCCTAAAGCCCCGGGTCCTCCTCCGGCAGCACCGTCTCGGGAACCTGCGGGGTGTCCTCCCCACCGAGGTCCAGACGCTGGACCTTCCCGCGGATCCCGTCCAGACTTCCTGGCTCTCCCTGCACTTGCCCGGGCACGGCTAACTCTGTACGATCCCACTTGTGCGGGGCCGCGTGCCCACCGCCACAGCCCAGACACAAACAGCCACCGTCACACGAGTCCCTCCTGTGCCTTTCACAAGCACACACACTTTCTTTCTGCAACTTCCGACCTGCGCACTTCCGTGAAGTTTGTCATTTCAAGAATGTTCTGTAACACGGGGACCCGACGGGCGGCTGCCGAGCGGGGGGTGGGAGTGGAGGAGGCAAGACGAGTGGGGGGGGTCAGAGTGCCCACGTGCAGCTGAGAAACACCCAGGTCCTGGGAGCGTGGTGCCCAGGGTGTGGTGACCGCCGTTAGCGGCGCTGGGCTGCGTGCCGGGAAGTTGCTGAGGGGGTAGGTCTTGAAAGTTCTCATCACGAGACAAAACTTGTGTAGCTGCGGGGTGGCGGGTGTTGAGGAGACTTCCCATGGTCACTCCGCACCGGACACGGATACCGAGTCCTGTGCGCACCGGACACTGACACCCCATGCCAACTCTCTCTCGGTGAAACCAGCACGCTCTAGGAACCGAACCAGACAGTCTGCGGCCTCCGCCCAACTGCCTGAGGCCCGTCCAGGTTGTCGCCGTGGGTCTCGGGAGCCGGCTCTCCTGCCCCTCCCGCTGAGCGGGTTGCCAGGGTGCGGACGGAGCACGGTTTTAACCGTTGCCCTGCAGAGGGACGTCGGCGTTGTTCGCCACCTCGGCACCTGCGAATACGGCTGCAGCTAACGCGCGTCGTCACCGCTCCTAGCCGTTCTGACAGGCGTGTGGTGGTGTCTCATCGTGGGTTTAACCTGAATTTCCCCGATAGCTGGGGGTGCTGAGCACCCTTTCATGTGCCCGTTTGCTGTATGCCCGTACACCCTCTGTGGTGCAAAGTGTGCCCATGTCTCCCCCGTTTTCTAAGTTCTGTTCTTCTAACTGGGACTTAGAGTTCACTGTGTGTTCTAGGGGCCAGCTCTTTGCTGAGTATTTCCCCCACGTGTTTCCTGCCTTTTCACTGCCGTAGGGTATACTGCAGAACAAAAGCTTTAGTTTTGATGCAGTCTAATGCACCACCTTTTCCTATATGGATCACACGTTTATATGTTTATGCAACTGTTTTCTGTTTTCCTCCGCTGAAACAGGGCCCTCCGTTAGGGCAGAGACGGTGCTCTCTCACGGACTTCGTTCGGATCCCGAAAGTCCGCGACCCCTGGCGCAGAGCAGACATGGAACGGCACTCAGTGCACTCAGTGCACAAGGCATGTGCACAGGTGTGCGACGCGCAGCTTTAGGTCCGTGTGCTGCTGGTGGGCGTGTCACCACAGTCATTTCTTCTTTACCGGTGTTTGTAAGAAAAGACTGGTTTTGACTCTCCTCACTTAACAAGGCTGTGTACCATTCAAATGACTTCACATTTGTTATGTAGTACACAAAAAGCATGATTTGTCCCCAAATTCAAGAATGAGTGATTACATCATGTTTGGGTTTTAGATTGGTTATGTATTAAGAGACAGATTGAAATTCATAACATATCTTG